TGAAAGGCCTGGCTCTAGCTAGCTAGCTGGCTTCCGTAGATAATCCTCCGTAGATTAAGTCAGCGGGAGCTGCAATACCTCGGCAGAAAGACAGATAGAAAAGGAGGATCATATTTGAGATTACACCCTTCTTTCAAGCTAGCCCTGGCGACAACACCCGACTTCGTCGTGTGTTGCCGCCTACTATCATTCTCTCATTGTAACCTTCTGTTTTAATAAGCTAGCCTTGGCGACAACACCCAACTTCGTCGTGTGTTGCCGCCCGATAACCATAATTTTACAGCTGTCACTCCCGTATGTACCTGTAACTTTTGGAGCTTCTGCTGGCTTATTGTGTTGAGTGCACTAATCTTTTAAAATAATATTGATTTATTCCTACCCCTAAAATTAATTGAACCTTCAATTGCCAGTTTGGTTGGCTTATGCCTATCTCTATCCCTATATGTTGGCTTCACCGGAATGCGGAACAGGAAACAGGAAATGCCGAAAAAGGGGGTGAGGGCTCAGGCAGATAGACTGCCGAGGTTGAGAACTCAGGCAGTTTACCTGCCTTGGTAAAGGGGGTGAGGGCTCAGGCAGATAGACTGCCGAGGTAATCCTCCTACTCTGAACCCGCCCACCATAGTCTAGCTAGTGGCTGTTTACCACAAAACCGCGACAAAACCGCCACCTTTCCGCGAGTTTCGCTGCTTTCGTGGTTTCAATCCTGAGTTGAGGAAGGCATTCTACCGCTAGCTACCCAGCACAACGGGACTCAAATCCGCGAGTTTCGCGGTTTTTCGCATTTTTCTCGCGGCAAACAACCAAAACAGACCAAACCACCATTCCCGCCGCTCCAGCTTGAGGTCAGAATTTCCGGCTAGGTAGCTTCGTGTTCTTGTATTGGCCCTGAGAAGGTTCCAAGTGGAAGTTCACCAACGAAAAGTCCGGACATAGACTACTACTCTAGACTACATCGTACTACAGAGTAGCTAATACGTGTGGTACTCAAACGACAATTCGATTAAGGAGGTACCACCCGGTCTGGCATTCAGTCGTTAGTAACCCGGAAATCCCTCGTGTTATTTTTCCTTTTATCGAGCGTTTTGTATCAACCGACCATGATCCAAAGCAGTTATATGGCTGCCGCTGCCGTTCCTTGCACCGATCACGTAGAGACCCGTGCAGTGGTTCTATGCGTAGGCAATAGGCACTGCTGTTAACTTCCCCCCTGCTGGATAGTAGCTGATGCCTTGTACCTTCAGAACAGTGGTAGCCAGTGTTAGCGATCGCAATAGAGGTTGTTATCTTGGCAGCATGTCGCTTACACGGTACACCGATCAGTAACGATCCAACCCAATGACCTCCTGTAGAGCACGAGCATAGCTTCCATTCCCTATGTCCATACCCTCATTGGTGCACCGGAAGCCCTTGAACGGAGACCACAACGTACATCATTGTCTGTTGTCGAAAATGGCAGTTTGTTGTTGTTGTGGAGTCCGAACCATCGCGAAAAGCAGCAACAAGCAGAGCCAGCCGGATAGGAATCTGCATTTCCCATGTTGTGAAGAAGCCATTAGCTGGTACTTATTTCACGGCAAAATTCTCCGTAGGATAGAAGTTGGATAATAAAACGGCCATTGAATCAGAATCAGGATGACAGTCACCTCAATGGTAGTAGTTGAGCATACAGGAGCGGCGTCTCCTGATTATGTGTCCAGCTTGGCCTTCAGCCACCAGACTACTCCTGCCTGGAGGAAGACTGAGAGTGGGTATGAGATGTCGCGTGAGATGAACCTGCACGACGCGGGAGTAATGAAAAGAGAGATAATGAGGATTCCAATCTATTTGCAGAACATTGCTTGTTGTTGATAGTTTCAAAACCAACGTACCTTTGGAGATTGCCGCTGACCTTGTTTGCTTTGTGCTTGCTGATGGTAGCAACAGCCTCATCTATGCATTCTGCAACTCAGCCTTGAGCCACCAGTTGACCGTTGACAATGAAGACATCAGCCGCGGAAGCATGTTGACCATCAGCAAGTCTGATGCGATTTGGTATCAGCAGTTTCCCAAAAGAATGCGCTGTGCTCTTATTATCTTTGACATGAGTTGGCAGCATCCTCCCCACGTGTTGAATAATCCGCACGCTGGACCAACTGTTTGGACACGCTTCCGAACGGAGGATGTGCACTTGTGCCGACACAGGAAGGAAATTGTCTTCATGACCAAATTCAAGCCAAGTAACTATGAAAACTTCAAGTGCCTGCGTCCTGAAGCTGCAGGACAAATGGTAGCAAGGCAAACAAGGATGAGTTTCACAATGCTTCTTTTGTTTGATCGAGACTGTGAGGAACAATGTCAGCAATTCCATGATGGAAACGTACCTTGGGATCGACGAGATACCAGAAGATTATCACCCAGAGGATGAAGTGGATGACAAGCCCCGTCGGTGTGATTGTGTGGAAGAACATGGCCTGATGCTGTGTGCCAAAGTCCAAGCTCCACTCAATTTGGTGGACAAGAATGATCTTTACCATTCCTTGCAGAAGTACATCGTGAAGAAAACCAATGTCCGGATCTACAGCGAGACATTCAAGGGCTGACCCAGTCTCACAAGCGATGGTGTTCCTACTTCTGGTATGCGGTGAATGTTTATCAGTTTGAAGTTGCCACGCCATTGCCTCGATGTGTTGTCAAATCTATTTGGCTGTTGTACCCAAATTTCGATAATGCGGTGAAGGCTACTGGTTTCAAGACAACTGAGGAAAGAATCGCGGAAAGGGCAACCAAGAAAGCGCGCACTGCCAAGTCTTATCACTAGACCAACGCAAAGAATGGCCCCGTTTGTTATTGAAAAAGAATCGAAAAAGATCAGCGATGTAACAACAAGTTACTGTGTTCGCTAGAATTGAGGAAAAGTCTACAGTCGGACAGTATAATCCAATTACTTAGATACTCATACTATTTGTCACTTTACCTTTCTGTCTAATCGCTTTCCGCTTCCGAAAGATCTTCAACTCCGGCCAATCCCTGTACCTCGCTGGTAACACGTTCTGTGTCTTCGCCAAAGTCAATGTAGTCTACCAACTCTAAGGTGGCAATAGCGATGTCATGCTCGCTTATCTCTCTTTGTTCCTCCGTTGGAATGGCCACCTCGCACTCCTGCACGGTTTCCACATTCGACTGAGTAGTGACTCTCACATGCAAGGCCTTTGGTTTTCCGTGGTTGATGCATCCTTTGAAGCTGGATCGTGAGTGACCGATTTCACCACAACTGCACACACTTTTGTACTCGCATCTTTATTCTTCGAAACTTTTCTTTTCTTTTGCTTTTTTGTTCTGGCAATGGCGATCCCAGAGGAATACAAGCGGCCGTCTTTCCTATCCTGTTGGAGTTTTTGTTGGTAGTCCTTTATCTTCTCGTAAGTTTCGCGGTTTCTCTTTTTCTTGTACTCCAATGTTCTTCTCTTACTGATTCTTTTCTTTCGATATTCTTCCTGTTGCCGAAGAAAGTAGGCCGTCCCTTCCTCCATTTCAAGACCAATTGTGTCGAACAACCGGCGAAAGAACTCTTCTACACCCAGCAGAGTGATGCCGACGGCTATGCATACTCGATTCTGCAATGATAATGAACCAGCATACACTTTGTTCTTTGGAGCTAGCCAGGCAATTGTGTTGTTCAGCGACTCATTCGCATTTGTTGACATGAAGTGGTTGGATTCTTCCAGTCTTTCCATCGTGGTAAATTGAATGATGGGTTCAAGCAAAGACTCGTATAAGTACCAGTTGCCAGTAAGTACAGTGTAGGCGTACAAAATGTACTGGCAATTCGAAATAGCGTATTCGGTACACCGGGTCTTGGTCTCTGTGAACGTTCTGAACCAGGTACTAGTACTGGTACAGCTGTATCGGAGTGCCGGTAGGTACCACGGAACAAGAAAACAGGAAGCCGACAGAATCAACGAGAAGTGAGAGGAACCATTCTTCGGAGGCCGGAATGAGATAAAAGAATCTCAATGGCTTCTGTCATGGTGATCTGGTATTTGTTAAGATAGTGGTATTGTTAAATCCGTTAAATCCATACATATGCTCCAGTACTTAACACAGCGTATTTGTTCTGTAGCTGAAGTGCTGAAGTGCTGAAGTCTATTAATAGAAGCAATTAATTCATGCTTTCTTCTGGCTTTTAAAGAAAAATATGTTCCCCCATTTCCCTGAGCGGATTGGGAAACCTCCTTAGCAACTACCAAGCCAATATCCTGTGCAACTGTGCAAGTGTGCATAGTTACAGATGCACCCAGCCCCGCCTCAGCTGTGGCAGGGAATCTTCCACTCGTTTTAACCAGGCACCACTTCCATTTGCCGCATTGGGAAACTGAGGCGCAGGAAGAGCCAAAACTACTACACGTCTGTTGTTTCCACCCCGCACCCTTCCTCGTGCTCTGCGGTTCGCCGGGTCTTTCTGTAAACGTTTTGAACCAGGAAGAGCTCCAGAACTCTCCAGGCTTTCTTCTTTGCCTTTGGAACGCATACATACATACCTGGTACAGCTGTATCGGAGTGGGTACCACGGCATCACGGCATCACGCCACACAAAAAGCCACGAAGCCGAAGGAATCAGCAAGAAGTGAGAAGAACCATCTTTGAGGTGTTTTGATGGACGTCCTCCCTTTTGCTGGTATTGCCTCAATTACTAGTAGCATACATGTAAATTACTTGAAGTGCTATTAAATGCATGCTTTCTTCTGGCTGTTTTGACCGGCTTTGCTGCTAATTACTCGGAGTTTCCTCCTTCCCCCGGAAATTTCACGGCACACTTGGGTTCGTTTACTGATTAAAACAAATTCTCGTCCGAGGTTACAATTCATGGCCTGTCGTAGTCAAGCTCAATGATCTTTGAAGGAACTTGGGGGGAATTTTCTCTTTCTGTCGGCTCTTCGAAAGTTTGGAGTAAAACGTAATTATAGGCACCAACTTGTTCTTGCTGCGGAAGTCATACAACTTATCTGTCCTGCAACACGATGACCGCATTAGCCTGGCAGCGACAAGTTAAAGACTGTGCCGAAAGTGTTGAAGCAGAGATCGATCGTCCATTAGAATTGAGAGAGGAGCAAAGCATGGAAAACCCTCAGCAACATGATCTGCAGGCTATGCGCCGGTATGATGACAATGGTGGCTTGCTGCATGGTGAGATGGACTGGGCATACAGCAAATCACTCCTCTGTGAGGACTTCGCCGCGGATTCCAATCACGGCCCGGTAGGAACAAGAACTGAGACTTTAGAGGTGAAGGACGACATCGGCGAGGAGGACGAGAACGAGAACGAGAGGAACGAGAACGACTTGGCTTCTTTGGACGAGGAAGTAGGTACTGCTACCAGCGGTGGTTATGACGATGGGTCAATCGTTCGAACTCCTGATAGCCCCAAAATCATCCAGGAACCCAGTGATGTTAGTGCAGGTATGGTCGATTACTCCCTCAGCGACATTGATGACCTTAGTTCCACGGACACTGCTGTCGCAAGAGAGCAAGCCATCCGTGATGGGTTCCTAGGCGTCTTGTTGGGATTCATTCAGAACGCTTTTTTCCTAAAGCTCTTAGGATGCTTTTCTAACTCTCTTGAAAGTTTTCTGAAGAAGGTTGGGAGGGGTAGCAGCAACAATAATGACCATGCTGGAGCAGAAGATTTTGTGGAGGAGCTCATGGATGCTGCTGATCCAGGAGTGTCAAATCTTCTATCCCAGACCCAGAATTGCACATCAATGCAATCAGTTGTGCATGGAGGTGGCAGTGGAGGCGGAGGTGGTGGTGGCGGTGCTGGTATGGGAGGAGGAATGGCTGGCCCAGCCCCACCAGGTGGAGTGGTGGGTCCACCACCTGGTGTAGCAGAAATGGCTACTTCTGCGGTACGGTTACATCAGAAGGTTCTACAAACCTTACAAAGTCAGCCAACAGTCTTTGTCTCACATCCATTCGATTGCTTCACAGGCACAAGGTGCTGCAAGTGCCTCAGCATCCGGAGCCGCCACTGCCGGGGCAGCGGGAGCTGCAGCTGGAGGTGCGGTAATACAAGAAAATCACCCAGACTGTAATGTCTTCTTTTTTGAGCTGCACTCAAATACTTTAATGTCTCTTTCATGCCACAGGGTTGTCCAGCATTGCTGGAATGGCTGGAGCGGTAGCCAGTGCAGGAGCGGCAGCACAGGCTGGAGTAGTAGTGGGGGTTGGTAAGCAATGCATGTTTGCAGTTTCCTTATTTTGATAAATTGCATCTAGCCAAGATTCTTACTGGTTCATTTTTGTTGTGTAAAAACAGCGGCAGTGACGGCAGCAGCAGTTTCCACCGGATCAACATCACCTGTACCGGCCCCATTGCCTCCCCTGATTCCTATCATTGATGACTTTGTGCCACCTGTCTGCTCAGTGCAGTCACTGTTAAAGGTTGGATTTCTGGAGCTTCAAATCATGGGGATGCCTCCTGATACTTTGTTCTCTCCTCCCAAGAAACAGCTACTTGAAATTCTCTTCCGGGATATCTATAATGAGATTACTGTGAGTTTTGCCATGGTTTGAAAGGTGAGGTGGATGAATATAAGGTTGATCTAATTTGGCTCATTCATTCATTGCCAGGGAATGTGTCTGGATCAGTACTACCGTGTCTTGCACTTCGCTGAGATCATTGACTGGGAAACAGACTGGGGAAACTTCACCACCAACAGCACCCATAGCATCTTTTTGCCAGGTTACTTTGGTGAGAGTGAAAGTGATCTCCTGGATGAGATACTATTTGGTGTTGGTGACACCTCCAACAGTACTGGCATCCTTCATGCCAATACTTCTCACAGCGCTGAGCTGAGCATGAACAGCAGTGAGGCAGATGAAAAGCTTGGCCCATTTACTGAATGGCTCTACCGCACAAACACCTCTTTGGAAGAATATAAAGAGTTGGTTGCCAACAGCATCACCTCAACCTCTTGGATGGCTTATGTTGGCTGTGTTGGCTGTCCAGATCATGAACCCTTGTTTGAACTCCCAGAGGGGCCTGATAGCTCGGCCAGAGAAAGACGAAGGATGGCACTTTCCTGCAGCCTAACTGAGCATCACCAAGCCCATTTCCAGCGAAGATTGAACAACATCTTTGGGACCCAAAACTTCGACATGACTGAATTCTTTCCTCTTTTTGCTGCCTCCTTTGGATTTAACATTGATACCACCCTGCGAAAGGATGGACGTAATCTTGATCTCAGCATTGTTGGCTCTAACAGCACTGGTGATGGTGATGACAGCTTCCAGTCAGCAGTCATCTTTGGTACCACTAGAGCTGTATCCCAAGATGGCGAGATTGATGATGAGGCTGCACCAGTCAATGAAATTGGAGGTGTAATAATCGGGCAGGCCATGCAGCTGGTAGAAGCGAACAATGGAACAATCCGAACACCTTTTGTCAATGTTGAGCTTTTGGCCATTGAGGCGTGTGTTGAAGAATCATCAACTGAGGATGGACAGTCTGAATTCTGCAAGAATATCCTGGATGAAACAGGTGTGGATGTAGAGACATTGGGGACCTGCTTGGAGAACCCAAACTCCAATGACTGCCAGGAAATCTTACCAGCTGTCATTGAGTCATCTGAGAAAGTGCTGGAATCTGAATCTGTTGGAGAGACCAGCAGCGAAAATAGAGTTGATGCTAGGGAGAATGGTGACACTGGTGGTAATGGGGAGGAAGCTGTCCTTGGAGGGACTGTTAGCATCAGCGAAACAGTGACCGAAATCCAAAACCAGAATGATCTGAATGAAAACCTTCTTTCCTTGTCTTATGTGGAAACCGAAAGCCCAATTGTCACTCCCAAGAATGCTTCAACAGAGCCGTCAATATCGATACCTACAGTAACACCAGGAAATCCAAGTTCCGTTCCAACAACCAGGAATCCTACAGTATTGCCTGGAAGTCCCAGCATTAGTCCCTCAACTGAAACTCCAACTGTTACCCAAGGGAATCCATCAGCTAGCCCATCGACTGCTGCCCCTACAGTGACAGCAGGTAGTCCCAGTTCAGCTCCAACCAGTGCAAGTCCTACAGTTTTGCCTGGACTTCCCAGCAGCAGTCCCACTACAGGATTGCCAACAGTGACACCAGGAAGTCCAACTGCAAGCCCATCAACAGTTAAGCCCGCAGTGACTGTAGGCAGAGTTCCAACAGTTTTGCCATCAACTATCAGCAATCATTCTGTATTGCAAGGCAGCAGCAGCAGTACTCCCACTAAATTGACTCTGACTGCAACTCCAGGGAATCCATCAGGCAGCACATCAACAGCCAGTCCTACAGTAACACCAGGAAATCCCAGCTCCGCTCCAACCACTGTATACCCTACCGTATTTCTTGGAAATGCTAACGCCGTCGCAACAATGGAGTATCCATCAGCAGACAGCCCCTCAATACATCCAACTATAGTAATGACAGGAAATCCCAACTCTGCTCCAATCAGTTGGAGCCCTACAGTCTCGCCTGGCAACCCCAGCACCATTCCGACTTCGTTGTCTCCCACTGTTACCCCAGGCAGTCTACTACCAGGAAGCCCATCAACAGCTGCACCAACAGTAACAGCTGGCAACCCCAGCTCTGTTTCAACCAATTTGAATCCAACGATATTTCCTGGCAGCCCCAGTAGCAGCCCAACAACTAAATCTCCAGCAGTGACCCTAGACAGCCCATCAGTCCCACAACAAACAGTACTGCCAATGGTGACACCAGGAACTCCTAGCTCTACTTCAACCAGTGAGAGGCCTACGGTGTCACCAGGAAGCTCTAGCACTACTCCAACAATAGGGGCTAGCCAGGCAACAATGACCCCATCCAATGAACTCAGCCAAACTGTTGAACCCACTGCCTTACCAACTGATGAACCCACCCTCACACCAACCCTCACACCAACTGATGAACCCACCCTCATGCCAACTGATGAACCCACTCGATCTTCAACCGATGTACCCACTCGATCTCCAACCGATGAACCCACTCGATCTCCAACCAATGTACCCACCCTATCACCAACTGATGAACCCACCAGATCTCCAACCGATGTACCCACTGTATTGATTGAGTCATCCACTACACCCACTGTCACTCCCGGTTCCCCAAGTCTCAGCCCAACAACTGCTAGTCCCACCAGTGGAACCCCTAAAGTGACGCCAGGAAGTCCCTCAATGGCACCAACCACTATCAATCCCCTGGTATCTACACCCACTGTCACTCCGAGCATTCTTCCAAGCACCACTACCAGTCTTGGTGAAAGCATGCATCCAAGCTCTCTTCCAAGCAGCCAACTCACTATATCCGATTTCCCAAGTGTGGTTTCAAGCACTAACCCAAGTGTTAGTGACAGCACAATGCCAACTTCCCTACCTAGCACATCAACTGTACCCAGCTCATTGCCCAGTGTGACACCCAGTATATCGCCATCTGTATGTGACTCTTCTTTAGTTTCGGTGGAATCTTCTTACACTATTGGTTTCACTGGGGACATCACCACTTTGAGCGATTCAGCATTGACTGTAGCCTTCGCTACAGCATTAGGTGCAATGCATGAGGGCAGCACCTGCTCACCTACACTAGTGAACATTGTTGTATCAAGCAGGCCAGGAGCCACTGCTGCCAGTGTCAGAGCACAGGGTGACCAGCTTTGGGGTGGCAGAAACCTTCAGGCTTCATTTGTTGGGTTCACGATGATGACAAGCCAAGCTCCAGGGAGCAACCTCATTGATGTTAGCCAAGAATCCATCTTCCTGCAACAATACTCAATTGCCCTTGACACACCTGGAGTTGAAGCCACATCCATGGTATCCTCCGTTAGCCATCCTGTCATGCCGTCAAGCAACCCCTCCATGAGACCTTCACAGCAAGCCTCAAATATGCCCTCGTTCATGCCATCAACCATGCCATCAGTGCCACCCTCCAGCATTCCTTCCAGCCAACCGACATCTACCCCATCAGAAGCACCCAATGTGACACCAGGAAACCCCACGATCAGTCCAACCAGTGCATATCCATCCACCACACCCTCTGAAAGCCCTTCAGGGATCCCCTCCACGTGGCCCTCCGCAATGCCCTCTCTCATGCCATCAACCTCACCATCATTCTTTCCAAGCAGTTCACCATCACACAAACCCTCTGGCAGTCCTACTTCCATACCCACCGGAACACCTACAGTAGCCCCTTCAGTCCCACCTACTGTGACTCCAGGTTCTCCCACTGTCAACCCTACAACTGCAACCCCAACCACTCAACCATCGGGAAGCCCATCAACAGCTCCTTCAGAAGGTCCCTCTTTATTGCCATCAATTAATCCATCCACATTACCAAGTATCACATCATCAGTCAGCCCCAGCTTGAGTCCCTCTGATGGCCCCTCGAGAGACCCATCATCTACCCCTTCCTCACCACCTTCCATCACCACAGGGAATCCCACTGCGAATCCAACACTTTCTATGGTTCCTTCACAAAGCCCATCTGAGATCCCAAGTCAAAGCAATGCACCAAGCAACAGCCCATCCTCACCGCCTTCGACTGTTCCTTCTTCAATGCCTTCTTCGGACCCCTCAAGAAGCCCAACATCGCGCCCTTCTTCACTACCCACTGTAACCCCCGGAAATCCCACCACAAGTCCGACAACATCAAGTAGCCCATCAAACGGGCCATCTTGGAGCCCTAGCCAAAGTAGTGTACCAAGCCTGAGTCCATCATCACCGCCTTCAGTCAGCCCTTCGATTGATCCATCAAGTGTGCCATCAAGCACCCCGAGCATCCACCCTTCAAGCCTCCCCTCCATCAATCCATCGATTGCGCCATCCATAGATCCCAGCTTAGGCCCCTCTGACGCCCCTTCCATGACACCAAGCATCAGTCCTTCTGATATTCCATCTACCACCCCCAGCAGCAGTCCATCTGATCTGCCATCCATGAGCCCCAGCACAAGTCCATCTTGGATACCTTCAACAAGCCCATCAGATTTTCCATCCAAGCTCCCTAGCATCAATCCATCAGATGCTCCATCACACAGTCCAAGCACCAGCCCATCTGCATTTCCTTCACTCAGCCCATCAGATGCACCATCAAAACTCCCTAGCAACAGTCCATCAGATGTACCATCACGCAGTCCAAGCAGCAGTCCATCTGCCTTGCCTTCACTGAGCCCATCAGATAGCCCATCCGTGCTTCCAAGCACCAGTCCTTCAGACTCCCCCTCGTCAACCCCAAGTGTGGCACCATCAGATGTGCCTTCGCTCAGTCCATCAGGCAGACCATCAATGGTTCCGAGCATCAGCCCTTCAGTCATCCCATCTTCAATCCCCAGTCTCAGTCCGTCTGACCTACCTTCGACAAACCCAAGCTCTAGTCCTTCTGGAGTCCCTTCTGTGTCGCCATCAACAAGGCCATCACAAATACCATCTGTTAGCCCATCAGGTAGACCTTCCTTGAGCCCTAGTATCAGTCCTTCAGACATTCCATCCTTGACTCCTAGCATCAGTCCATCGGATGTGCCTTCCACAAGCCCAAGCAACAGCCCTTCTAATCTGCCCTCTATGTCGCCATCATCCAGACCATCAACCAGCCCATCTGAATCGCCTACAAGTCATCCTACTGTTTCCAACTTTCCTGGATGTTCGACAGGCTTTTTCTCGGGGTTTTGTTGCCTCAAATACCAAACTCCATCTAACTTTGGTCAGATAGGTGCCCACAATCAATATGCTTCCATTACAGATTGCTACAATGCCTGTGTGAGCCTTTATGACACACCCTCATGTGCCCGCATCCACTGGCGGACTGGCTTGGAGTACACAGGCAGTAGTTATCGAATCCAGGCTTGCTACATTATGCATTCTGCAAGTTATTCATATTACAGCAATCCAGCTAATGACCTTGCAGAGCCACATTATGTTTGCAACAAAATTTGATCTAATATATAATGCAGCTTCAAGATTTTATGGCCCCATGATAGTAAATGGAGGGTCTAGCCATAGTAGTAAAGCAGTTGAGTCTCCATCCTCATCTTAGCTCTCTCTAATCCATAGTAAACCCGATTCTTTCTCTAGTAAAGCAGTTGAGCGAAGCTGGCAACCTGCCAGGCTCAGGAAAAGGAATAGGTGAGACACTCGTGCAGAGGGACTGCTTACTGGGTGTCTTGCATGCATCATGAATGGCCCTATTTCGGCTCTCCCCCAGCCGCCTGGCAATTGCTTCTTCGCCAGCATCGCTGATAACACCTGCTCGAGCAGCAACCAATTGCCGCTGTGATACCGGTACGCCATTGCTTCGCCAGCATGGCCTGATATCACCTGCTCGAGCAGCAACCAATCGCCAATGCGATACCGGTACGCCATTGCTGTTGACGGATCGGGGTGATACAAGAGAAGCCAGTTGTAGCCTTTTAGGTACGGGTTGCAGCGGAAGCACACCCTGCATTATGAAGCGAGTGGCTTTCTCTCCATCGTAAAGCCAACTTCCAAAATTTGCTCGGAGTAGTATCAAAGAGCCCGGACAGTGCCTTTTGACTTCTAGCTGGGGGCGGAACTCGGGCAAAGAGAACACAAATTCTCTGCAAGAGATCAATCGGTCCAAGAAAAGAACACAAAGAGGAATCGAATGATGAAACAATCGGGGCTGCGAGGTGCATGGTCCCTTTTTGCCCGAAGCTAATACACTACGGGGACGTGGCCAATTGCACAACGTACAGCCGTAAGCTTCGCACGCACATGCATGTTGTTCCGTGCACCTTGGTGTTAGCCGACAGTTGTCACTCATGTTTTTGCTCAATTCCCCTGCCTCTTATTGGAAAGGGGGGTTTAGAGTAGGGAGATTATCTACAGAAGCCAGCTGGGGCCAGGCTTAAGCAAAGAACAGTCGAAATTCAGGACGGTGTTCTGTCGGATTGGGTCGAGAAATTCAAGATTATTTTGGGGGCCAAATGGTTTTGGCTTTGCGGGATGCATCGAGACATAAATGGGTAGCTTTCACAAGGGCAATAGAGCTGTGGGTCTGCAGGAAGAACATCATTTGAGAGTAGGAAAACTGAGTTTTGCTGGCAGCCGAAGAATCAAGGCTCTTCAATCTTTCACGTTGCTTCCTTGCAGCTCACTATATAGCTATGTACATGCAGTTGAATCAGAGTAGTGCACAGAACTACGGCCAATGTGGATGAGCCTAATCCATAGCAAAGTTCATGCCTTTTGAGGAGATGCGCTTGTGCTATCCAGAGATTGCCCCCCTTCGGCTCGCGCTCTTTCATCGTGCCCTCCTCCTCTTCTGAAAACCATCCTCAACCTCTAACCCATTGTAACTTCTCCGTCAACTAATGCCCCAAGCTTGGATTGGAGGATTCGCACGGGTGGTTGTTCCAGTTGCTATCTGTGCCATGCCGCGTATACTCTTGCGAGCACTGCAGGTGGGAAGATTATTTTCTAGGCGCCTCATCAACGACAAGCTACTCTGCACACGGTGTTTAGTAGGAAGTGGTTACTATGGCTTAGAGGGAACTATGGTGAGGAGGGGGGCGGGGAGAGAGCAGGATGCACGGTACGGTAGGTGCAAGGTATCCAAGACAGGGCAAGGCTGATACAACACCAAACCTGTGGCAACCAACCTTGCAAGGAACTAGTAGGCGAGTCCTTTTGGTCAGGACCAGAGCTATGGTACCAACCACGTAAAGAATCGGAAGCCAAGAATAGCGGAGCACTTCCAGAGTGAGTCTGCCAGAGGTCTCGGACCACGGCGCAGACAAGCCGAACAGGGCATAGCTCGAATCAGGATCGACATGCAGCATGTCGTCTCGCTGCGCTATCAATACGACAATTACATGTATAGCAGTGTTGAAGCGACAAAAGACTGTTTCTAAAATCCCATGACTATGTAGTTATAATACGCATGATTCTCCTAACTGAGAATAGTATTTTCTTTTTGGTTGGCCTTGAGCAATAATGAATCGATCCTGTTGTCGTCGGGCAAACAAGGGCAGACCTAAGGAAAGGAGGCTTTCTTTTCGCTTTGCAAAAAAAGGCAGGAATATCCAATACACGCAAATCATACCCAGCTCCATCCCAGATATTTAGACTTCCACGAGAACGACACAGTCCGGTTCTTCCGCTGCCTTTTTCTTCTTGTCCGCCGCTTCTTCCGCTTGCTTCTTTTTCTTCTTCTTGTCGGGGACACTCAGGGCGGCCGGTTTCTTGTCACCCGCGGGAGCGTCAACGCTCTTGGCGGCGGGTTGCTTCTTGTAAGGATTGATCTTCCTGGCTTTTTTTTCGCTCTCCGGTTCCGCAGTCTTCTTCTTGGGTTCCGTTTCGACCGCAGCCGCAGTCTTCTCTTCCTTGTCCGCTTCCGTCTCGTTCTTCTGAGTCGCCACCACCTGCTTGAGCTTGAGTTCGACGAGATAGAGGCACTTCTTCAACTTCATATTGGCCTCGATGACATCCAAGAGGAGCGGATTGTCCGCAACCAAGGAGACCTGGCCCGCCGGAAAGGTGGTGCTCTCGACGAGTTCCGCCGGGAGGTAGTACTTGACAAATTTCCACAATGCCTTCTGGCAGACATCATCCTTCACTAGGAGCAGCACCATGCGGAGGATCTCTTTTCCCTCAAACGGCTGGGTAGGATCTTTGAGAATTTGACGCAAAAAGGTAATGCACCGTCCGCGAGGGTTCTCTCGTTTCCAATCCACACAGTGTTCCAACACCGTCACAATCTCTTCGACATCCGCAGGTTGACGCTCCTTCTCGGGTTTGTCCAACAAGGGATCGACAATGTCCTTCAAGATGACAGTGTCCGTTTCACTCAACCCAGCCTCACAGCGGAGCTCCGCAAACCACGGCAACAAGACATGATAGTTGCTGGTGTTGACGGATTCTTCGGCAAACGGATGCAGAACCGCCTTGATCAGTTCCCATTCGCTCGCTTTCTTTTCCGGGAACTCAAATCTCGTCAAGCCTTTCGCGAGTTCATCCTCAAAGAATCCGCTCCAGCAACGAAGAAAGCGGCTGCATTCTTGGAATTCTTGTTCGCCTACCGCCACTACCACATCCGCGTCACCCCAGGACTCGTAGCGAGCCTTCTTCACCACAAGGCGAGTCTCTTGTTCGTTCTCTGACGCCGTACGCTTGGACAAGGAGGAACCCATGGTGTCTTTCTTTTTTTATAATAAGAGAAGTAAAGGACTGATGTTCTTTGAGATTTTCTAGCGCAGATTCTAAGCGAGTCGTACTCGTTTCGCTGAATGATGAGGGCAACACGATGATGTTTGTTTTCTGTGAGAATCAGAATTCAGGGACCATGGTCAGTGTTTACTCCATCTCCTTGACTCTCCTTGAACCTTTTGTAAGCCAGCGCAACAGGTAAAATCAGGACATTTGTCTACGGTAGGCACTTCCTAACTTGGACACGAATGCAAAATGGGGGTTCTTCAGCATAAAAAAGGCAGGAGTAAGGGTAAATTAGTGGGCTGCAAAGCTGTGAGCGTGGTCTTTGCACAGTAGAATTCAAGTGCTGGATCTTTCTAACGGGCAAAACATGATGTCATGGTCCAGACACGTATCAGATGGCCTGACATGAAGCGCACACTTGACCTAAACAAAAAGATCCATCCAATGATGCTTCGACAATCCACAACCAGAGCCCAAAACGTTCAGAGGAATGAAGAACCGGCTCTGAAGTCCAGCTTCAATAGCATGAAAGTAGTCCTATGAGAGAACTTTTTTACGCGAAAGACAAGGGAGATTGTTGCATGAAGCTCTTGACAGGTCAAAGTGCTGAGAGGATCCAGTCGGAAGGAGCGTGAGGGTGAAAGCGGTAGAAGGCAGTGATCTGATTGGCTAATCAAGCTAATATGTCAGCAAGTGCGTCAGCAAAGATTCAAATATACTTAACGTACCATTTATAGATATTACAGAGCTAGTGT